GGGGTTGTAAGTTGGATGGATTGGGGTTTAAGGGTGATGATGGGAATGCTTATGTGTGTTGAGAGTGGGATAATAGAATAATATCTCCTGCCTCGATGACCTTCGATAGGTGAGGACGGGATCAATGATACTATTCACCAACTCCCCTTAGTTTTCTTAGGTTGTCAGTAGTTCTGGCCCGACAGAGGTGAATAACTCGTGGACTATCTAATTTGTCAAAATGCTTACATATAACATAACAAAAAAAAAAAAAAAACTTTTCTCGTGACCCCACTACGTTTGACTGCTGAGTAAAAATTTAATTTTAAATGCATGACAAATTAAGAAATTTTGAATGATATCTTATACAAGCCCACTTGTTAGTCACTTTGACTAAGGCCAGAAATTGGCCTCTTTAGATTGTTTAGTTGGTAGCTTCTATCCAATGTTGGATTATAAAGCACGCAACCCAGCTCTGCCTGAATTCTTATGGCTCACTTCGATCTTTCATATATGTGCCCCCATTGATTCTCTATTTAAACTTACGCTTAATTCTCTACAATACTTGCTTACTTTTACATGAGATATTGAACCCTATTTGCAGCAAGGTCAAGATGATTGGGAATTTGAGAGGCTGATACGAGAGGGTGGTTGTATATACTGTTGATGGGTTGGAGACGAGAGTTGGGGTGGGCAAAGGTGAGTTGAGGGATTATTGAGTGGGCTAGCTGTTGGTATATGTTGCTGAGATGATGATATTAGGAGGTTTGGTAGGATGTTTGTGATGTGAGTGGGTGTGTATGTTGAGAAAATTTGATGAGAGATTGAAGAACACATGTCGGGATGTAATTACTTGATGATTTTGAGGATTATAACAGTAGTAACCTTTTTGTTGGGGCGGATAGCTAAGAAAGTTGTAGGGTGAAGAGAGAGGTGCAGGGCTTGTGGTTTTTGCCACGAATAACAAAAATACCCGAACATTCGAAGATCTGAGTATGTTGGTGGCGTATGATGAAGTAGTTCATAGGTGATTTGAGTTTTATTGTCTTGGAGGGAATGCAGTTGATTATGTAGATGAGAGCTGTTGTCTAGAATTTGTATGGTAGACGAGAGGTGAGATGGAGAGTTCTTGTGGTTTCAATTAGATGACAATGCTTGCATTTCGGTGATGCCAGTGTATAGGGACAACTTTATTGGTGAATTATGTTGAAAGAGGTTAGATAGTTATGCAAGTTGTTAGAGGTGTATTCACCACCTCCGTCGAACGTAGGATTTTGATATTGGTATTAAATTGTATTTGAACCATCTTTTAGAACGATATTAGTTTGGTGGTTGTCTTAGATTTTGCAAACATAGGAATACCCATGAAAATCTAAAATATTCTTCTATAAGCAGGTGGGTGTTGGACCCCAAACACCAGAGTGAATAAGATCAAAATAGTGTTTAGATTCAGAAAAAGAAGTAGTAAATGGCTTCTGATGAATCTTTGAATAGTTACATTCGTTGCAAAAAAAAGGAGAAGCGAGACTAGCTATAGAGGTAGATTTTCGAGATATGGCGGTGATATTTGCATGGTGTGGATGCCCAAGCCTACTATGCCAAATTTGGGTGGATGTAGGAGTTGTGTAGATGGCACCCTAGGCAGAGATGGGGTAGATAGCGTACTAGTTAAAGCCTGGAAGGAGGATTTGGTTTGTGCTCCAGTCCTTGACGACAAAACTAGATTTGGTAAATCAGATACCACAGTTATTATCAAAAAATAATTTGTGAACGAAGAGGAGATTGTGATATAAAGAGCGAATGAGACTGTTTGGTGAGGTAGAGCTTACGTTGAGGAGTAGTTAGAATGCCTTGGTCGGTATGAGTGATGAGGAGGTTGGAGTCCTCGCCAGTGATCACTGAATCTGGTTTTGTTTACGGTTTGACATGTTGTAGATGGCCATAATTGAAGGTGAAATGAGTGGTGGCACCATAGTTGAGGAATCATTCATCTGAGCTGGGTTTTGTGGAGGTCATTACAGCGGAATCTGATTTGGTGGATTGGTAGGAGCTGAAGTTGGGCCAATGCCAGCACTGTAGTGCATGTGTCTGATTTTTTAGCATATTTGGCAAGTTGGGCAGTCAGAAGAAGGTCCTGTGACGTGTTTTCCCTTGGTTGAAGAGGAAGAGTTGTTGTTCCCCCTTGCATTGAATGGACGTTGTCCACGACCCCTGGAGCCATTGTGATTTCCGTGATTGGTAAAAAAGGCGATGACAGCGACATTGGTTTCTTTTTTTTCTTTTGACGAAGAGATTGATTTCCTTACTGCATAGGAGAAAGTATAGATTGTTGAGCATGATCTGATCAGATCTGATGCAAATGGCGGTTTTAAAGGATTGGTATGAGGATGGTAAACAACTTAGATTGTGGAGTATAATGTCCTCGTTGTCAATATGACTTCCGCCAGCTGCAATGTTGTCGATAAGAGATTTGATAACTAGAAGATATTGAGACATGGTTTGCCTTTTTATGGAGATGTCGTGAAGCTCATTTCGGAGTTGGATTACTCATGAATGATTGGTGGACTGCAAACAATTTTGCAGTGTTTGCCATATATCTTTGATGGAGTCAAGATTGAGAACATAGGGCAAGATTCTAGGGGATATAGTGGAGTTGATGGCAGCAGAGAGGTTTTGATCAATGAGTTGCCATCATAGGAATTGGGGGTTTGAGATGTTAATGTCGTTGGGTTTGGAAGTTGGAGGTGGAAGAGCAAATGGTGGTGCCATCGAGGAAGCTTTCAAATTCATTTGCTTTGAAGTATTTGTAGATTTGGGGTTTACAGGCGGGGTAATTTTCAGCGGTGAGTTGAACATTAGCCATGTCCTTGATGTTAGACATTAGGAATTTGAGAGAGGAGGGGAAGTAGGATTTCTGCCATTTCTAGTTGGCCTGGATTGGATTCCCGATTGGTGTAGGATGAAGTCTCTGACATTGCCAACAACAGGGGTATCGATGAGAGAAGAAATGAAAGAGAGGTTTAGGGATTTGAGGGAGAACTTGGATGCTCTGATACCATGTTAGAATTCAGGAAACTTGGAGATGAGGACCTCCATGGGCGTAGCACCAAGCAGGTGGCAAACAGGGAGAATATTTCACGATGAGTAGTAAGCAGTCTTGTCAACTTCTTTGAGAATAAAGCTATTACAATGGTTTTGTATATGAGTGAAGAGAATAAGACAAATCTTCTAGAAGGTATAAAAAGTGAAATGCGGTTTTGCTGCCTGGTGTAAAAGGGTTATTATTTGTGGCATTTATGGGGATTGAACACCCTATAAGAGTATGTAAAGTTCCTCCAACTTAATTCCTTTTTCATAATACCGCTACAGATGAAAGTAGCAGTGATAATAGTTTTGCTCGAGTTGATAGGTTGAAGGATGAGGCGCAATCTTTACGATCCAACATGAGACCATTCATGCATCAGATGCAGATAAATTATCCACCACCTGATGGATCAAATTAGATATGCGTGATCGATTATGTTATACAATTTTATTTACTATAAGATTGAATAATTGTGTAATTATTAATTATGGGGATGCAACAATAATTCTCCTGACTTGAGACTATGGAAGGAAGACATTTGTACATAGCTATCACTTTATTATTGTGCACTTTATATTTTGTAGTCTTGGTTGCTTGTGCTTAAACCAATGAATCAGTTATTAAGGCATCCTTAGTTTATTTATATTAATGTTATATCGTTTTACTAGTTTAGATTCTTATCTCGTATATTTTCTATCAAATATCATATAAATAGTACGACACCTTCTGCAAATTTTTTTTCATGGAAGAATTTTTGGTAAATCACAATTCTTGAAGAGACATGTTTGTGAGAATCTACATAAAAATTGACATTATAGTATTCTTTATTTATTATCTTTAATGATTTGGGTTCATGAGTTTTAATGTATTGTATTAGTGGGTTTTATTTATTTTTAATGAGTAGTATGAAAGCTCTGGATTTGGTTGGAGTTCGACAACTTATGTAATTTATGAATGAGGTAGAATTACTAACTTCTATCAATTTATAGATGAGTCCCAGAATAGTCATGGTCCATACGGTAGGTTGAACGGACATTCCTCTCATTTGGGCAGGAGTGACCGCTTCTAACAGATACCCTGGAAGACGATCGTCTAGACTGATTTATAATCATGTTTTGCGAAACAATAACAAATATAATAATCAAATGATTCTCTTAAGCATGCATTAACAATTTACAAAGGAATGCTCGAGTGAAAATCACCTCCAAATATTCTAGAAAAGTACTATACTTTTCTTCCATCTTCACGACGAACACCAATACTTTTCTTCTTTTATGTTGTGGGCAACAAGACGATATTGAAGCATAAACCCTAAAGCTTCACTATTCTTCTCTTCGACTTCGGTAGGGTCTAAGAATAAAAATGATACCCTCAGTTCAACAAAAAATTATTCCCGTACGGATCGGACACCGCAAGCAAGATGCGTGCGGTGTCCGATCCTGACCGTAAATCAGGATGTATTTCGATGGACCCTACATAATTTTTTTTTAAAAAAAAATTGGAATAATCATGATCGTAAATCACCGTGATCTACGATCATGATCGGACACTGCATGCGTATTCAATAATTTCTCCAGTCCAACAAGCCAATCCTTTCAATAACTTGAAAAAATTAAAATCCCATTTTCATAGTCATGCCGAAAAGCACGCAAACTTCTAAGCCGCGAACCCGGTCCAGCTGAGGTGGGGCCCTTTTTCCAGCCGCGTCACCCGATACGCCCTCGGCTCCACGTGTCTTCCCTACCTGACCCCACCCTTTAGTTTCCGCACGCCCCTCATGCCTACATGAAACTCACACTTCCTCATCATCCACCATTCGCTCCCAACTTATAGTACCATCAAGCTCCTTCCTCATCAAGCCACGTCACTTTCATTCCTCGTGTCCCGCGGTGAATAGAATATTACAAAAAATACGCCGCCGCGTGAGCCGCGGTTTCCCTTCCCGCCGGAACCTTCTTCCCTACGCCGCAACCGCGTTTCTCCGTCCCAACTCCCTCCCACTTCCCATAACCTATATAAATCTCCCAAGCCGCCATTTTTCCTCAACACCCATCACCTCCTCCACCTCCCAACTTCCCCTCTCATCTCCCCGAATGCTCATGAACTCCGGATTCCCGCCAGCCCCCGCCGGCGTGGCCCCTCTCGACGACCTCGACTTCTACCTCTCCTTCCTCCCAGACGATTTCCTCCCCCCACAAATGCCTCCTGCCAAGAAACCCCGCCTCGCTGCGTCCGACGACTCTGCGTCCGACGACTCAACCAAACCTCCCCCTCCCCATCCCCGCCGCCTATGGGTCAAGGAACGCTCCCGCGCTTGGTGGGATCAATGCAACCGTCCCGACTTCCCCGAATCCGATTTTCGTTCTGCATTTCGCATGAGCCGGGCCACCTTCGACATGATCTGCGAAGAGCTCGGCTCCGCGGTTGCTAAAGAGGACACGATGCTCCGCGCCGCAATCCCCGTTCGTCAGCGCGTGGCGGTCTGCATCTGGCGGCTCGCAACAGGGGAACCCCTCCGGCTTGTCTCGAAGCGCTTCGGCCTCGGCATCTCTACCTGCCATAAACTTGTCCTGGAGGTTTGCACGGCAATCAAATCCGTTCTCATGCCCAAATTCCTCCGCTGGCCGGACGACCACGCCGCCCTTGCCGCCTCCCGCAGTAAATTCAAATCAGTTTCAGGAATCCCCAACATTGTTGGGGCCATGTACACGACTCATATCCCCATCATCGCTCCGAAAGATAACGTCGCGTCTTACTTCAATCGGCGGCACACGGAGAGGAATCAGAAGACGTCTTACTCGATCAGCGTGCAGGGGGTGGTGAATCCAGATCGTGTATTTACGGATGTCTGTATTGGCTGGCCGGGATCCATGTCGGATGAACAGGTTCTGGAAAAATCGGCTCTTTATCAATTGGCGGCGCAGTGTGGGACTCTGAAACAAGATTGGGTGGTTGGGGGAGAAAGCTATCCGCTTTTGGATTGGTTGATGGTGCCCTACTCGCAGAAGAACTTGACGTGGGCTCATCATGTTTTTAATGAGAGGATTGCAGAGGCGCAGAAGGTGGGGAAAGAGGCGTTTGCGAGGCTAAAAGGGAGGTGGGGATGCTTGCAGAAGAGAACAGAGGTGAAGTTGCAGGATTTGCCGGTCATGCTTGGGGCTTGCTGCGTTCTGCATAATATATGTGAGATGAGAGGGGAGGAGTTGGGGCTGGTGGAGATGGGATACGAGCTTTTCGACGATGAGATGTCGCCGGAGAATGGGCTGCGTTCTTCGACGGCGATGGCGGCGAGGGATAATCTGGCACATAATTTGTTGCATAGTGGATTTGGGGGGACGAGTCTTGTGTAGTTTTGATTAACTTGTTTCTAATTAATCCTCTGTTGTAAGATGAGGTAGATTGAAATTAGTTTTTGGTTAACTTTTTGGTCATGTATGCAGATTGACAGAACTGTTTGAAAGGCTATATGCTTTTAAAAGCCTTTTTTGACTTCCCCTAAATTCAAACCTTGTTCTAAACATCTATCGGACCTAATGTGAAGAGGATTAGTTATATTTTTTGATGATCAAATTTATATTTTCATAAATAGATAACTATATATAATGCCACTTCTAAGAAAATACAGAGTCTGAGTTCAGCTGAGCTGAAATATGACAAATTTGAATTCAGAAAATAATGGCAAAATAGATTAAAAAAAGAAAGGCAATTGATCTCTTTGCTTTGTTAAATGATATAGACAGAGTAAGAAGTGCAGCAAGTCTGGTTTATTAACAAATAGTCTTTATCTAAGTATGAAATGTTCTGCTGACCAATTGGGTTGACCGGAAATGCTCCGTTGACCATGTAGGTGAGGCCATTCACAATTAGAAAACTATCACCCCACATAGGCAGGAACGGTGTGAAAATGCTGATTTTAGCTGTTTGGAAATCTCGTTTTTAAAAAAGTTGTTAAAAACTCAATTTATCCAAGCGGAATTGCATGTGTTTTAAAAACGCAACGCACCGGTGGTTTCTAAATTTGAATTTCATTTTTATGGCATTTATGTTTTAATATTCATTTATCATAAATAAAATAATAATTGCTACTCTTTGATTGCCAATGATAAGTTCAACTTGTTGCTTGGAAGTTTCTAGCTGCCTATTTCATTTTTTTTTCGCCAAATAAATTATTATTATTTTATTTGCTTAGATAATATTTTTTTAATAATTATAATAATTCAATAAGTTTGGTCTTAAAATACGATTTATTTTCACAAGGAATTTCAAAAAAGTACTAAGAAATTATGTCTAAATAAAGATGCCTACGTATCGAAGAAATGTTGACTTTTGGGTCAACCAAAGCGCAAGTAAATTTAGGCCTAGAAACTTTAATTAGCATCGTACGGGCTAAAGCTGTTCACTTAAGATACAGCTTTATTACCAATCTCGTTGGAATATATTATTTTTAATTTATCTTTATAATATACATTTTTCACGCTTTCTCTCTCTCTCTCTCATTTCTCTCCCTCACTCAATCATCTCTCATTGGTTCAATGCTCCATTCCTTGGACAAGATCTACCGCACATATTTGAGTTCAACATTTTAAAAGGTGTGGTGTGTGTGGATCGTGTTGTAAACATGAAGACGAGCTAACACCAAGAGTAAACTCTTCAGAGACACACTCCTAGCAAAGACCACTCAAGAGGAACTTGCACAAAAGTGGATCTATTCCTTTACTCCTCATCACGGACAATTTCTTAGAAACTTCATCTCTTTATTTGTATTTTCCCATAGATCTCGTGAAAACAGAGACAACCTATACTTTCAATCCCATCGCCTCACAAGCATCCATCTCACGTCACCTCATAGCAGCTATGAAACTCTTCCCCTCACAAACTTACCAAGCCTCCTCAAACTCCCCATGCTTCTTCCTTCCATGCAACACGTGCTTTCACCTCTAACCAAGACCTTCACATCCTCTCCCAAAGCACTCTCTCTCTCTCTCTCTCTCTCTCTCTCTTCCCCTCTCCCTCCCTCTCTCTCTTTTCTTCACTCACTCCACACCGCTATTCTTCTCTAACAACAAACTCCATTTTCACGTCTCTCTTCTAATGCAAGTGGAGCTCTCACACCCGCCAGCCCCCGACCTGACTGCGTTTCGCCGATTGGACCTCATATCACTAACCGCACTTCATCCCGCCGACGGGACTACATGACGCTGACCATACCACATTTTGACTAGACTCCATTTCGTCAACCAACCGAACATAGGAGATTTACAAACATAACACTCAATTCCTATATATTTTTATATTATCATACCCGTCGATCATTTCTTATATATTTTCATAATGCAAAACTCTTTTTTCCTCGACAAATCATCGTACGATCGGATGTCGCGATGATCGTTTTTCCAAATCCATTTAATCACTCTACCTCTCTCTCAAACTAACGCCTGACAAAGCCTATTATAAAATGTTACATGTCAGCCACTAACACCCTCCAATCGACCGCAACTCTTGTCACCTCCGACCAATGGTCAACGTCAGTGATAATCACAATAATGTAAGTCCCGGTAATGATACCAGGAACCTAATCTACTCCCTAACAAATTAATTAAATTCTTAAAATTATATATTACTACTTACTGAGGTTTCTCACACAAATATATGTATCATTTGAGTAATATAGGACTCAATTTAGTCTGGAATGTCGATCCCACTTGGAAGTGAGGTAATTAATCCCTTAGACAATGTTCTAGTCTACTACTTTCAGGTCCTAGTTCAGTAGTTTGGAATATCCATAAAGGTGATTTTTCTATCAGCTTCTTCTAAATTACTATTATAAGTCTAAGTTAAACCTACTAGATCAATTGGTTTGATGAAATTCAAGATTGATAATTTCTCTTGCGAATGACTAAGTTGATTGTAGGATCAATTAATAAGAATTGTTACTATTGTAATGACAAATATGAGCATAACTCTTGTTTACCCTCTTCTGAGTACGTACAGAAGTTTGGTTAACCTAGTTTTAATTCCGTAAACCTTGATTGAACCAATCAAAGCCATTTACCTATCCATTTGCATTGCTCCATACTACTTCACCATAGCCTATCGAACAATATGAATACTCTAGTTGTTCTTCCACTTCTCTTCCGAATTTTAATGGATCACAATTAATTTTAACAAATCATATGGCCAATACGAAATGTAAACGAAGCCCTGAAGAATACTCATCACATTATATTATAAAAACCAATTTCAAAGCAATAAATATCCTACACATTCTACCTAATCTTCACAGGAGAAAAGTACAGGAATTCTAGTCACAAAACAAGTTTAACACAGCATAAAACTTCATTAAATCAAAGCAAATCCACCAAATATGTGTTTACAACTGAGACAAGTCAATAAAGAACTCAATACTTAAAATTTTCTCTATCAAAAAAGAGATGCAGATCCATCCGACAAAGCCTTCTACTGTTCCTTGCAATGTTGATACAAATCCTTTACAGAATGCACTCAAATCTCCTCTCGAATCTATCAAAAAAAGGTAAAAATCTATAATCCCTAATCCTAATTACGACCTCTTAGCGTTCCTGGAGAATTTCAGGATTTGAAAATGCCAAAAAGTCCTTTTCAATCTTTGGCATGTGTTAAATGACCCTGAAGTCGTGCTGAAACTGCACTGGAAGTTGGCAGTGCCTTAGCTCCCAGTCTGTGGCGCCTATGCGCCACTTTCTTAATTTGTTGGGAGAACTCTGGCACCCAGGCTCCTAGAATTTGGAGCCAAGGAGCTATGGAGCAACACCTTGGCGCCCAAAAGGTGGTGCTTAGGTGCTAGTTTGCTGGTAACACCCTTTTTGCACCATTTGCCTCTGTTTTGCTCCGTTTCAGTTCCAATTCATTCCAAATATTTTATATGTTATACCTGCAAGATAAACATAAAAATATCTTTTTTTAAAGTGTAATTTCATTAAAAAATAAAGTGCTAAAGATAAAGAAGATTAAGCATGTTGAAAGACATATTAACCATCCATCTCCTAATCGATCACCGCAGGTCCTACCAACCTTGCCTCTGTTGCTCGATACTGCCTCAACAATCAAACTTCTTCCTACAAAGCATGCCCTCCTACTCTCTCGGACACATGATGATAACGATCATCTTAATTCCACCTGTCTACTGCAACCTGTCAACTACCTTTCCGTCGTCGATCTCAAGCAGCATGCCTCAGTCGCATTCTCTATCCTCAGATAGGAGACTGATCCCTCTAGAATTCTCATAATCTGCCACTCTACATCTATCTCTCCAGATCACCACCTCGACCGAGTGGTTTTTTCTATCATCGTCTCCTCTCTTTTTTTAGCTACCTGACCGCTTCGGCCGACTACTCTGTTCCAACCTAAAGATTAAGTCATAATCACAAAAACAACGTGTCTTTGGAGTGATGCTAACATGGTGCCAACTATCGGTTCCCTAGTACACTGCAAAGGGAACCGTCGATTGGGTGTTGAAGGGTTGGATGACCCGGAACTTGTGGCTTGCCTCTGAATTCGTGGAAGTTGCTAGAACAAAGGCGATCATGGAAAAGTAGGGTGTAAAGCAGCAGAGGCTGAAGCTCCCTCCTAAAACATTAATCTTATTAAAGGTAATTTTATAAAGGGTCAGCTCCCTAGTGTTATTGCCGCAGCGACGACCGACACCAGTAGTGCTAAGTTTGTTGCTTCTTGGTCAAAAACCTCAGTCGTAGTCCAAAACACCATAACAAGTGAAGTTGTTATTATTGCTCGATCTCATTTAGTTGATGCAGGGAAATGTCAAGGCAAGAAAACTGCCTCTGTTGAAACTTTTGAAGGATTCAGAGGACCAAGCACCTCTTTGCCTTAGACTGATCAGCCGATCGACTCACCTCAGGCTGATTTGGAACCACTCTCTCCTAGTTTGCTTGATTTGTGGGTAGCTAACCCATCTTTCGTCAACCTGTCTAAGAAAACCAATTCTACCCTTGAAAAGGAAGAACCCACATCATGTTACAAGCTTTTGTCATCCCCCGAGAAAGAGACCACCCATCGATAAGGGAAGCAATTAATGGAAGAGTTGGACATCCATCCTCCCCCTTCACTTAAAAGAAAAAGGTAGTCCTTCAAATAGCTCCCGGCAAAGGGAGGATGGGAAAGGTTATGGGTTGGCTCTAACCGACGTTTTAACTTGTTGGATACCTCGAAGGTTTAACAATTATGAAGAGACTTTGGGGATCCCACCAGCATGGTGAAATTACTCTGGTCAAACAACTTCAATAAGGCCTTAAAGGAAATGAGCCACCAGGAGTTCTTATAACACTCGACCCAATTTTATTAGGGGTTGGCATTGGATGGTGCGGATAAGTCCTTGGCTTATGCCCAAATCATAGTAGTTT